AGAGAAAGAGTAGAGAATTGTACCTGTTTAAGTACATCAAATAATCAAAGTTTGAAATGGCACCATTTTGCCACTTCAATGTCATATTTTCTTGGCCAGAATCTTCCARCTTCACAACTGTAAAACATAAATACAGTTACGAAGTAAGAAGAGGAAGTTTTTATATTCATCAACCACAACATCCAGTGATGCGTGTTTTATCCTCTCCTATAAGATAATACCCGTTCTCCTCTAATAATGTAACTAAATGCCTTCGAAAAAGAAGTGTACGTTAACCATATTTTACTGAAGAGAGAACATTTACTGAGCGATCCAAATTTTTCCAATTAATACGAATAGGAAATTTGCAACCATCAAAAAAATGGTACTACTCTGCGCACTCGATCATATTTGGAACGTTAGAATGCGCAATATCAAGTATTAAATATTATTATTATTATTATTATTATTATTATTGTTATTATTATTATTATTATCTGTCTCACCTTGTTGTGCTACAAGCTCGTCAAAAAAAGTATCCCTCTCTTTTTGCGAGTTTAATACCAAATACATCTGAGATCCATCTGAAGAGAATATCTCTACTCCCTGTGAAGAAAATCATTATAGAAATGTTGGAAAAGGAGAAAGATTATTTATGAACATGACCTCCAAAGATACATAGGTTGAAGCTACGATGCAAGTACAAACGCAAGTATTGAAGACTCTTAAAACTCCAGTCATGTGAGCTTAGACTCACTTCTGAGACCGAAAAACAAAAGCAGAAATTAGAATAACRAAACAAGCACCWCMTGGATTCCAGGGTAAGTCCGCATACACTGGAKTTTTAAGTCTCGTCAATAAGGATCAAACAATTCTCATCTTCATCTCTGTGCCTATGCTTGTATCAAACTGAAAATCAGGTAAAAATCCTTTCGCTAGTTCTTAGTGTGCGGCCACGTTAATGTTTTCACGGACGTAAGGAGTAATGATTAACTGAGAATTTAATGAGAGCTGTGATTAAGAAGTCATACCCCTCCCTTGACAAATGGACTATTCATTAGATTAATTGATGCTGGCTTATTTTTCTAGGGAACTTGCAGAGACGTTTACCAAGAATCCTGGTTGCAACTTTTACATTTTCTTTCCCTCTTTCCCTTTTCTTTGCCGAGTCACTCTCACTACGCACGGTCGTTTAATAAATAAAACTAGTAACCGCTCTTTTTACTATAGCTACGTGTATCTTCCGTATACTGACCATTCATTGGTACTTACCACGTGACGCAGTAGATATCTTCTCTTTACCACCCGACTTATTTGAGACAATTTACACTTTACTACTGGACACTAGCAAACAAGAGAAAAGTCAAAAATAAACCCATTGTATGAGCATCACACTATTAAACATCAAGAAAATATCATGGGAACCAACGCAAGGGC